GCTCAGAACAGTCTCATAATACACACATGCACACAGAAGGATTCACACTTATATTTCATGATTCGCAAAAGGATTCACACTTGTGTTTTTCAATGCACACACAAATGTGTTCCATTTCGTATACATGTAAATAAAATCCAAATACAGAAAAAAGTTTTAAATGTGTATTTTTGATCCACACATATTTGTTTTCCGTTTNAATCAGACGTCTCCTCAATTCTAAGCCAATCACATGAGCGCGCCCCCACGAGGTTAGATTCCTTGCGTTCATGATGTAGCGCTTCATGTACGCATTTTGCGCAGTCCGGAGATGACAGGTCCATGGAGCCTGCCTGCAGGCGCTAATCATTCTCAGGACACCTCCACTCTCAGTACATTGCCACTTTCCGAACAGGAAATGCACGCAAATACAAGCCTTTATATTATTAAGGTACAGCGCCACTTTCCAAACTATTGATGAATGCTTGTTGTGTGTACACAAAAACGGCTGGCAAAACCGTTTTAAATTTGTGTTTCCTGTATGGCGAATACAGCTGCTTTATTTATGTCTGTATGTTGTTGTGAGTGTGGAGGGAGCAGCTACGGGTTAGCTTAGCCTAATCGATCAGTGCACTACGAAGCCAGTGCTAGACAGTGAACTGTCAACGGGGGGAGCCCCGCCGGTCATTATCGGCCGGCATTCACTCTAAATAGTTTGATCAGTGCTCTCTATAAAGGCCGACCAGGAGAGCTGGATCTGATCGATATGGACATAAACGCGATTGAAGTGTAACCGGACGCTAGATAGATCAGATCAGCTGCTGAGTCTGACGGAGACACACAGCTCTACATGATCACCTGATGTTCCGCCCTCTGTTTAGCGAGCTGACCGGACTGCGCGAAATGCGTATATGAAGTGTCATGAACGCAATAAATCATACCCTCGTGGGGGCGCGCTCATGTGATTGGCTTAGACTGGAGGAGACATCTGATTGTCTATAGATGAGAGAAAATACAAGTACGAATCGGTTGAGCGTCAGGGGAGTCTCAAAAAACCCACACACGAATGCACAGCGATCCATGCACAGAAAGCAGTTTGTGTTTGCAGGTTCAGGGGATTTAAACGGAAAACAAATATGTGTGGATCAAAAATACACATGTAAAACTTTGTTCTGTGTTTGGATTTTATTTACATGTATATGAAACGGAACACATTTGTGTGTGCATTGAAAAACACAAGTGTGGATCCGGAAATACAAGTTTGAATCCTTTTGCGGATCATGAAATACAAGTGTGAATCCTTCTGTGTGCAGCATGTGTGTATTATGAGACTGTTCTGAACCCATACACAAGCGGACGGCAGGAGCGGGGCTGTCAGCATTTTTAAACTCGATGCGCTCTGAAACTACGGGGCCGCCGAGGAAAAAAAATACACATGCGTTAATCGCGTTAAAATAATTAGTGGCGTTAATTTTTAACGCGTTAACTTGACAGCCCTAGTTAAAATATTTAACAGATTTAACGCATGTGCAGAATGGCCCGCCCCATACATCCCACCAGTGGCAGCGCCAGGGTATGGCTGGGGTAGGCTACACCCATACCAAGAAATGGCTTAGCCCCACCATGAAAAATGATGTTAACTTAACCAAAATAAAGTCTGCCAACTCGCGCGGAGTAAATTGCACAGACAGCAGTTAGTAAGATTTATTTCAGTAGCCACTTGTCTGGAAATACCGAAAACTAGAAACGTGTGTGTGATCGT